GATTTGGTAGTTGAAATGTTATTTATCTGTCTCTCTGTGAATTTTTGGAAAGTGTAAAATGTAATATTAGTCATTATCTATATATAGACATCGGTAGATATGTAAACTATTATTCTCATCTCAGCGCCCAACATTCCCATCAGCGTTCATCCGTATCATTCGCTTTACGCATCCGCTCCATTTTTCAGGTTTTTTCGCGATCGAGAATCAAATTACTGAAACATTAACCTTTCTTTCCCATCATGTGGTTCGACAACAACCAACGGCAACACAGCCCTCGGCATTTCACTCAAAGAAACTAAACTCGAAAATCAGCGAGTCTGTAAGCAAAGTCTCATGCAGTTTCGAACGAAACGAGGGGTTTGTTTTCACCATGTGCTTCGTTGCTAGGCGTTGCTAGGCGTTACCCGACTCGTTCTCTTTCCCCAAAGTACTCTTCTGACGCACATTTAAACTTTTCACTCGCCTCTCTGTGTGGACAAATCTAGACTCTTTTATTCTTATTTAATACTTTTTTCCCTCTATGTAATTTTTTGTCTCTTTTGACTTTCTCATATCTGATCTCAATTCTCAATCCTTCCAGCATCCTGTGCTCTATCTTCGTTCTCATTCTCTTACTTCTACTTATTTATTCTATTAACCCCTTAATTCTCACCTCTACCCTTACCCATACCCTATATATTCACATTACCGCTCTATTCACCTATCCGCTATTCACTCATTTACCCATACCCTCTTAATCTTATCTCCTTACTCTTATTACTCCTCTATTCCATTCACCTCCTTATGTCCCTACCTATCTACCTACTCGTCACTCCTTTCTTCTCCTCTTACCCTATACCTCTCGCCAGGACTTTTACCCAGAAAGCCTACTCTTCTCTTGTTCTACTCTTGTTGTCAACCACATTCTCGATCGATCGAGAGATATATCGCTATACTCTTATTCTCCTTCTTGAGCTCTGACCTTGACGTCAGGTTCAACCTTATAAGATCCCGCTGTATGGTAGCCAAGGTGCGCGGAGCCCCGCTGCGGATCATCGTAGCGACATACCAGACCAAGTTAACATTCGGAGCCCTGCCTGCTCTCTTCTCTGAGTATCTGTATTAGTGTGATGCTTTTATAAAGGATTATATTATTGGTCATGTGGAAATGTAATATATATATATAAAAAAGTTAATATTAATTATTTTAAATAATAAAATATTTTATAATAATATTTACTAATATAGATATAATATATATGTGTTTTTTTGTATGGTATCGGTTTTCATGTTGATTGTGTAATTTTTGTTGAGGGTGTATTTTGTTATAAAAGTTGTGTGTGAATGACTGGGTGAAGGCGAGAAAAGAAAGTTTTTTTTTTTCTCTTTTGATTGGATGGGTTAATTGCAAGTTGTGTTTGTGGTTTTAAAAGTTTTCTATGTTATTGGGAGTTTGATAAGTTGGTAGTTGGGTAAATATTGTTTGGTAGATTGTTGCTTGTGTGTCGGGTTGTGTATAGTGTTGTTGTGTGTGTATGAAATATGTAGTTTGGCCAATTTGGTAGTTTGGCATGTGTAGCAATTTAATAGTTCGTAGCGTAAGTGGTGTGTAGGTTTGTGGTGAGTGTTGTGGTATTGTGGGGTTGATCGTAATGTTTGTTAGGCGATGTGTTGTTGTCCGACTGAGCTGTGTTGTAGTTCCTTGGGCAGGGAACGTTGTCCGCCAAAGTACTGCATCCGTATGAACCTTCCAATGCGCTTCAGTTTTGCTGAACAACCTTCAACCTAGTGGTCGTCGTCGACAGATCACCAAGGAGGTGTGCTGTGTGTGTTGATTGACAAGCTTATTATGTGCGGGTGACTTTTTCTGTTGCTGAGATTTAGGGTTATCATTACGGTCGTTAGTTTTTTCGGCTGTGTGTGGTGGTAGCTAGTGATGCTTTATAATTGATTTTTTATTTTGTTGATCCATTTGAGTGTATGTGTAGTGTCATTTACATCACTATTATCATTATGCTAATGCTATGATGGTACCGCCATTATCAGTATTAAAACTGAATCATCACTGTCGTATTTAATGGCGATATTCTTGCCTGGACAGATTGTTGTATGTTGATGTACAGTCATTATTGTTTAAGTACCTCATTACTGCCAGCTTGTAGTGTGTGTTGTCTGCAGTCTTGTTGCCAAAGTCAGTTGTGTGTGTAGTGTTGTGTGTGATGTGTTGCTTGGTGCGTTTTGTGTGTGTGTGTGTGGTTGTAGTAATGTGAGATGTGTAGTTTGTGATTGATGATATTTTTTATTACTCAACCTTCCTCTCAGGTCTAACGGGGTGAGTAAGCTTAAGCTGATCGTGGCTTGGTGGTGTGTGTGTGGGTGCATTCTGTGCGGATCGTGCTCGCGGAGTGTGTGTCCGGAGCGGATGTGTGTCGAATAGTACGCGAGTTGTTCGATAGCTGTGTCGTTCGCGCGCTCCGTGGATGTAGTCGTGTGTGAAGTTGAGCTGTTTGTGCGTTGCAGGATGTGTGTAGTCGTAATAGCGGTGGTGTAGGGGCTGCAGGAAGTGTAGGAGTGTTTGATGGATATGAGAGAAGAGAGGTGAGGAACGATGTGGTAGATGGGGTGTGTGTGTCTACTCGGTTGCTCTGCGCGACCACCAATAAATAACAAAAGATTGCCCATGCTAAGATGTGTGTGAGACGATAGTCGTGTGTGGATAGATAGATAGATTGTTGATAGTTAAGACTGCGATGCACAGGATCTGTAGATCTCTCGTTGCGTGTTGTTGTCTGAATGGTCGACTCCAATTCCCCTCCTGCCTGTCCGTACAGTGTGTGACGAACGTGGTGCGATGATGAACCAGCTGGGCGCTGGCACGGAAGGGCCTCCCTATAGGATGGATGAGGCTGTGTGGTTGTTTCGCTTACCTGGGTCCGTTCCGAGCATAAATCGTCCTGTCATGCATATTTGTCTCTTAGGCGTTCGAAAATCGCGAAAAGACCGTGACGGGGCCATTGTTTATATCAACATTCTTCCTGTGAGGATACAACGATCACGGTAATTGCATCAGCGTACGCAGATGATGAGAGAAAAATTATGTTTTAATGTACAGTATATGTGTTTTTCCTGTCTTTTTATCTGTTTTTGGTTTTATGTGTTTGTAAGATCACTTGTGATTACATACACCGGTAATCAGTGTACGTGTGAATTTTATCGGGTTTCTAGATGCCCTATTATAATGTATATATATGATAATATATTAATAAAATTACACAGTTCATTTAAATAATCCAATGTGATAATAAATGCAAGGTAAGTAAAAAATATCTATCTTATTATTGCTTTATTTTTCAATTAATAGTAACATCGTACTTTACGGTTACGATATACTTATATAATTTTTAGCATGATCTGATCTGTGATATTCTGACTTACGATCGCAATACGCATTTAACAGCTACAGTCAATAAATACAAATGAACCACCATGTCTGTAAACATACAATGGTACTCTTTGACATCAAGATCACTTAACGCACATACAAAATTCTCAAACATTCTATTCGCATTGAGAAATAGAGAATTTTAGTTATAAATGGCTTATGATAAAAAAACTTCTTTATCTGGAAGGGTTCGGTAGGAGGTCGCCTGTGCAAGTACTATGCCCAGTGGGCTGTTCTGAATGAAATGTTTCGATGTGTCAAGTGAAAGTAGAACATGCAGTGGATAGCATAATATATAGCTATACCAATATAATACCAAAAGGGTAACCACAGATATTCATCCACGACTCTCAGCCGTTTTGTCCTTAAAACCTCAGTATTAAATTATTAGATTACCCTCTTGTGGGTCACGTGGTTATTTAGTTCCTAATTATATGCTTGTTACCTAGCAGATTGGAATATTGGATGATGTGAAATTGAGGTCAATGTAATGAGATAAGAGGTTCTTTCTTGATCTTATTTTGTGTAAGGTAATAGAGTGATCGATAGTTTCTATTTTTTTATCATGAAGTGGAGAGTAGACATATGCATGATGATGTAATCTTAGATTTATTTCTTTACTACAATCATAACTCTTGTTATAAACGTTTAATGTCTATAATAAGGGTATGGGAATATGATCTTTATTTTATAAGTTATTGATGTTTTCTTATGTATATTTCTTTTTCTTATATCTATTGTTTCCATTTTATTTTATATTCCGATGATTAATATTATCATTCTATATGTTCTAGGATCACTACTTCATATAAACAAATGCAAAATTAAGCTACATCTGATTTTGTTTATTATTTTTATCCCACATCCACCGTTTTCTATTGTCCCTCAGTGAATTTTATCCATATCATCTAGCCCCCATCTTCATTTCTTTAATTGTTGTCATGAGACTCTTTATCACTCTATCTCGAAGATAATGCTATTAGTAGTGCCATCCGTAAAAAAATGTCAATATTGGGATGATCACACTGCGACTCAAGGACCAAATGTCTTAACTCCTATCTCGGATGGGTCAAAGTGACCTCAATGTCAGATCTGGTTATGTTGAGAGTATTGTAAATCTGTAATCTGTAAAAAGCGTAAAATAGGGAGTTAGAAGAAAGCGGAACAGCGTTGAGGGTCACCTTTTCATCGTTGAAATATAAGAGCGACAGGCGATCTTTACCAGAAGCATGGTGAGAGTGTTAGAAATGTATAGTGAGAAAGGGGAGTGGGGTTGTACCAAAGTAAAGGAGAGCTGTTAAGGGGAGAAAAGAGAAATAATATTGCCCGAATAGAGTAAGCGAGGAGAGGCAGCTGTACAGAACTTGAGATTGTTCGAACGGCGGCAAAGAGAGAAATGATATAAAGGTAGAATGAGAATACGATGTGACTCACAGTGCCAAGAGAATATGTTGACCGTTTCGATAAAATCCTCGCCCAAAATTACAAGTGATTAGAATCAAACCAATCAAATATTCCTTGCACTGCGATATTCAGTATCACTCATACCCTTTTCCCCCCACTTCTAAACCCCCTTTCTTTAGATCCACCGAATCGTCCCTTTCGCCAACTAATTCTTATCAACCATTACCCCCTCGACTCCTGAAGGTTACTCCCTCAAGAGCCCCGGAACCTACTACTCTCTGCCGGAGCAAGAATCCGACAACATAGGACGCCACGGCTTCGACAACACCGCCGACCAGCTGCCAGACATGAGGGGCATCCTCTTCGCCGTCGGGCCGTGTGAGTCAGGGGGGGGGTCGGTTCTGTAAAGACTGGACGCGTTTTCTTGTTTTCCTTCGTTTTTTTTCTCTCCTTTTCTTTCTTCCTTTTAATTCATTTCACTTCTTTTATCTTCTTATTTCATTTATTTTCTTTTCTTTCTTTTTCGTTTCAATTCATTTCTTTTCCTTTCCTTTTTTACAAATTGACTGGGGAAATTTTCAACTTTAATAGTATTTTTTGTGATTTGATGAAATATTTTTTTTAGAGCTCATTACTTTTTTTAAGTAGAACTCTGATGATAGTTGAGAAAAAAAATCCAAGAAAGTTTCCGTTGAAATCATATCCACTCTGAAAAAATAATGACTATTGTAATTATCATGGATATCATTCTTCATCAGATTTGCAGTTGATAAAACTAGATTCGAACATGTAAAAATAAATAAATTCACAAAAAAGATAAAACAATTTTTCCAATCTGGTATTCAAAACCATTTTTTAATATATGAGACTGCAGTGTTGCGTGGTTCACTTAATGTGGCAGAATATTAAGGCATATTATGAGTCTCAAATGCACATATTTGCAGTACCTCATCTTATATTCAATTATTGAAGTTTTATCAGTTTATACAAATAGTTAAATATACGGATGTACATCATGTATATATACACATATGGTTAGATCACACACACATATAATATACATATACGTATACATATACAACACAGACACACACACACACACTCACACTCACACTCACACTCACACTCACACCACACACACACACACACACACGCACGCACGCACGCACGCACGCACGCACGCAACGCACACACACACACACACACACACACACAACCACACACACACACACACACACACACACACACACACACACACATCACAACACACACCACAATACTACAACCTTCTCACGCCAATCCTCTCCACGAGCCTTCACCTCGGGACACCAATCACAGCCGGTGAGCCAGGTGGACGTGTACCCTCTGCTGTGCCACGCCCTCCAGCTGCAGTGCCACCCTAACAACGGCTCCTTGGACCACGTGGCTGAATTCTTCGCCCTCAACACCCTCACCTCAAGCGCCTCCTCCGCCGTGTCTTGTCTCCTTCTTAGGGTGTTCCTCATAAGCGTGGGTCTCGGGATGTGGGTCGGCGGTGGGATATTGGGATAAGGTGGGATATAGGATAAAGGTTGAGGATTGTAGATTAGGGTGAAGATTGGGGGTTAGGGTATGGATGGCTGATAAGGGTGGAGATTAGGGGATAAGAATGAAGACGGGATAATTGTGAAATTTTGTGTTAAGAATGAAGATTGAGGATAAGGGTGAATATTAGGGTTAAGAATGAAGGTTGAGGATAAGGGTGAAGACTGGGGATAAAGGTGAAAATTAAGAAGAGTGACGATTAGGGAAAAGGGTGAAGATTATGGATAATAAGGAATATTTAAGTTGTTTAAACAAAATAAATGTGCTAGACATCAAAGATCATACAGTACTAGGGTAAAACATTGTGCCGAAAAGGGTAAGGTTAGAGGCTGAACAGTACTGAAGGGTAGTATGGTCGTAAAAAGGTTTTGGGAGGGGAGCTAATAGGGTATATTATAAGGTTTGAGTTGATAAAAAGGGTGAAAGGAGTTAAAAGTTAAGGGCAATTAGATCAAATGGAGGAGATTTATGCGTCTGAGGAAGAACCACTTGTCGAAGGAACAAAGGTAGGGGATTCCGAGAGGATGGGGTGAAGATGAAGAACAAGAGCTTAGGGGCCGGATTCTCAAAAGAGCCTGAAGTTCAGGTATGCTGGAGGCCTAAACCGTCCAGCGGCGACCCAAGTTACGGCCCGTCAAAGGCGCCGTATCTCGGACTTAGCCTCGTATGCACAAACGTTTTTTTAAGGAGCCTTATCCCTGCCTTAAGTCCCGCAGCGCTGTAGATCAATTAAGGCGTCGGATCTTCGGTGGTCAATCACAGCTGCTGTTTTAGGGGGCTCTTAGGGAGTCTTGACCAATCACAAGCAGTAAATGTCAATCAGCTGATTTTGTAAACACCACGCTGTGTCCAGCCGGGAAAGGTAGATCAGTAGCAATTCGAGGAGGTCATGACGTCAGATTTTGATGACGTCACAAATGTTGCGATTCTACCAAAAAGTGAATGGCCAATTTTATTGCGAAATTGGTGAGGATGATAATCTTTCACTCGAATCAGTAATAAGAAATTACGAAATCACTACCACCACGAAAGTCGAGCACTACACTACTGGTCGATTACTTTGGTCTTTTCAATTTTCAAAAAGGATGGAAAATAATGATTTTATTGGTTTTATTTCCTCGTAGTGGGAGTCAAGCCATAGGCCTGTATTTTTTACTCGGCTTGAAGGGATTAAGTATACCTAATTTTATTGATACCTCCAAACACTCAGTGAATGAATGAAAGGTATTTTATTTAATGTGTAGGATACCAGGCCAACAAGACTTTATGAAGTCAAAAACGCCTGAAAAGCCATCGAAATTTTAACACTGTTGGATATTGTACGAAATGTAAACATGAACATGTGCTATTCTAAAAATAGCCCGGCCTGGTATCCTACACATTAAATAAAATACCTTTCATTCATTTATTGAGTGCATGGAGGTATAAATAAAAGTAGGTATGCGTAATCCCTTCAAGCTGAGTAAAGAATACAGGCCTATGGCTTGACTCTCACTGCGAGCAATTCCACTTGAGAATCGTACATGCATAACCATAATCGCCCACTCTCATTCACAGGGCTATTTTGATGATTGTTCATTGAAAATATAACCTTTAAACTCATTATTTTCAATCCTTTTTGAAAATTGAAAACACCAAAATGAACAGTAAACCCTATGTGCTTTATCCAAAAATAGAATCGTAATTTTTTGACGTAATCAAAATCTGACGCCATGACCTCATCGAGTTGCTACTGATCTAGTCTTTCCCGTGTCCAGTTCGTGGCATGATAAAACTTTTTAACTAACATGTTACAGAATATGTAACGCAGAAGAAATATGAAAGATTCCTAATAAAAGGAGTTAACTGTAATGTAGATACTTAAAGAATATTGATATGAATGTACTCCAGCACCAGATTTAAAGAAACTGCTGAATCGCTTAAGCCGCGAGAAGAATGTGAGAGGGTGTGATTAGAGGGTATATCTATAATATGTGGCAATAGGTATTTATCTCTTTTTTTCTGATGATATCTTTATGGATAGATAGGAACTTGTGTATGTAAGTATAGCTTGCTGTGTAACATGAGTTAAATATATGCTCTACCGATTCCTATTATCTTCATAAGCGCTTGCCATGTCTCGCCGAAGTAAATAATGGGAGCAAAAAAACGATGGGAGACCGAGCGGAAAATCGGACGGATTACTGTTCTGGCAAAGGGGACTTGAATTGCCCGTTATTTCACAGTGTGTAATCTACATTATTCCGACAAATCACAAATTTTAGTTGTTTTCTTAGGATGCGAAGTGAATATCAATTCCAATGCTTAGTATCAGATGCAATAAGGAACACTTTTATTTATTTTTATACGTTATGATCGCGTTTGATTCTTGAAAGTACGCAAATAGATATAGTTACTCTACATCTTGTCTTTAGTGATCATCTACTTGTGTACTAAATGAGTATTAGAATGCTGGGCGCTTAGGGCGAGGTTGGCTGAGATTAATCCAGCTTCTGTTTTATTGAATTTTAGATGACAGGGACAAACTGCTACTCTCAAAAGTTATATTTGTTCTAAAATTTATCAAATTTATTATCCTTTGCTTTTATCTCTGTCGCTCTAAGGTAGTTCTACGCGATATTTCTCGAAATTACGTTGCATGCTATCCCCTTTCTGAACTCCATCGGATACATACATTTGTGCGCTGCATTTATTAGTGCTTAGTCACTGCCTCTCTTCCCATGCCTGATCGTGGATACCGTTATATTGGTTTGTTAATCTGTAGCATTACTTTCTGTGTTGCGAGAAATGTTATGATATATATGGGCCAGTAGGTTTGCTTGCTTTCGCCTTTTTTAGTATTTCGTTGCCCAATAAGGCAAAGATGTTTTAAGAATTAAATAGCTCTTATGGCCACCCCAAGATTGTGAGAAGACTGTTATCTTTTTGTTAGTGTTAGCTTGAAGGTGTTTTAGTTCATAAGTTTCCATATTTAACCTGTTTAATAAGGTAGTAAAAGTTAAATTATCTGAAATTAAGCCATACCTCAGGGAAAGTTATGATATTAGTGTGAAGATTATTGTGCGTATATGTAAGTTTGTATTAGTTATGTGTTGTGCTGGGTGCTTTGGTAGTTTTGCTTGTTTTGCTGTTGTTTTTTACGATGACATTTACTATAGCCAATCCTGAAGTTTAACCCGCATATTTGGAGTCTGAATAAGAAGCGGAGCAGATATCAAATTTTATATACTTATAGTATATTGATTACAGTGTTGTTGCCTATAGTTCAGCTAGTATTGCACTAAGTTGATTAAGTGGAACAGCCCGATTGTCACCACATTTAGTAAATGTGCGCGAATAATACATTACAAGATAATTTATAATGCTGTAATTGCCTGTTATTGTTTCTAGACGAGTGGTAATATGAACGTCTCATCTGATTTGTGCGATTTGCGCACTTAACTCTGCATATATGGTTGTCCTATACTTCTCCCCGGCTCTTTTTCTTAGTGTTTCCTTAGATCATTTGGTTCTTTCGAGATGAGTGGAACTCCGGTTCACTACCTCTATCTGGAGGTATTGGTAAGTGATGTGTTGTTAATCGCTGAATTTTTTCTTCGTGTGTGTCCCTTGCTCTGTGCATGGGCAGTCTTAGGATAGGGCGCTGTTTGTGTGGAGGCGGGTCTCTCTTATATGATTTTAGAAGGCGCACTGCTTGCGGAGTGTATTGCTATAGAATTGGCACGCAACTCTGTGAGATCGTCTTGTGTTTTTTGGAGTCATCCTGCTTTGTTTGTCTGTTTTCTGTTGATTTTCTTAGTTCATTTTCTTTTTCTTATTTTCATTTTGAAGCGTTTTATTTCTGCCCCGTTTTTACTTTTTGTCTCCGCTTTTTTAAGTTTCTTCCACTTTTTGTTGTTTATTGTTGTCTTATATTCTTTCTTTGGTTGTACATTCTTATATTTTCGTTTGCCTTTTCTGATCTTTTTTCCGATTTTGTGTTTGGTCGTGGGGTTTTAAAGTGTTTTTTTGAAAGGTGGCTGAAATTGCGGTAGTATAAGTCAGACGGTTTCTTTTGATGTCAGTTCAGGGAGTTAAGTGGTTCATGCTGTGGTCCGTGTTATTAATGTAAT